CGGGCCGGCCCAGCGGGCCCGCGACTGCCGCTTCCTGGTGCTGCCACAGCCCGATGGGCGCTGGGCGCTGCAGTCTGAGCCACACGGCCGCTTCTTCGGCGGCACCGAGGACCAGCTGTCCTGCTTTGCCACGGCCATCTCCCCGGCTGAGCTGTGGACCGTGCACCTGGCCATCCACCCGCAGGCCCACCTGCTGAGCGAGAGCCGCCGGCGCTACGTGCACCTGCGCCCACAGGAGGACGAGATGGCGGCAGACGGCGACATGCCGTGGGGCGTGGACGCACTCCTCACCCTCGTCTTCCAGAGCCGGCGCTACTGCCTCAAGTCCCGAGACAGCCGCTACCTGCGCAGCGACGGCCGCCTGGTGCGGGAGCCCGAGCCCCGGGCCTGCTACACGCTGGAGCTCAAGGCGGGTAAGCTGGCCTTCAAGGACTGCGACGGCCTCTACCTGGCGCCTGTGGGGCCGGCCGGCACGCTCAAGGCTGGACGCAACACGCGGCCCGGCAAGGACGAGCTCTTCGACCTGGAGGAGAGCCACCCGCAGGTGGTGCTGCTGGCCGCCAACCACCGCTACGTCTCGGTGCGGCAAGGTGAGGCCAGTGGCGACCTCCGGAGTGGCAGGGGCCTCCCTGCTGCAGGCTTGGTGGCGCAGGGCAGTGTGGGCGGCGGCCGTGTGCGTGTGTTGGCCTGTCTGGTCTGAGCTGGGGTGCGAGTCGGTGCAGAGCATGTGTGGCTGCACACGTGTGGGGGTGTGTGGGCTTCTGCAGGCCCAGGGTCCCCACCGAGCCCAGTGGCTTCAGGGTCAGAGGGCAGAGGTCCTGACTTCTCTCAGGACAGCCAGAGTGCCTGGGCCAAGCCCTGGGCCTGCAGGGCAGTGGTGGCAGCCCGCCGGCTCTGTTCCACCTCTCACCACACCCACTCCAGAGGGCCTGGCGGTCCAGAGCAGGGATCGCTCCTCCAGTGTCGGCGGATGCAGGACTAGGTGGCCCTACTGGGGACCAGGCTCCTGCGACAAAGGTGCCACCTCTGCCCCACTGGGGTGTGAGCTGGGTCTCCCCATCTCCTGGGTCACTGGTCACTTGCTGCTGCGCCCCTCAGTGGCCTGTGGGGACCGACAGGAGGAAGCTGAAGTGCCCCAGTGCCCACACTGCTGTGGGCAAGGCCCTGACCCAGGCAGCTGTCATTGCTACTGCCTGTGTGGCCCGAGTGGCCAGGCACACTGACTCAGGGTCTTAGGGCCAGGCGAGAGACAGGGAGGCTGGCACATGGAGCCCCTGCCCACATGGGACTCTGTAATGGGTGCCAGCTGGGGGACCCGCCCGTCCTGGTAGCTCTGTGTAGACTCCCTGGACACTCAGCCTCCTGTGGGGACCTGGGCACAGGGCTGCCCGGCCTCAGCACAGGAGCCCCGTTAGGAGCCCCAAGAAGGGCCTGCCCTGGGACCTCAGGCCAGTCCATCGCAGTGGAGGCAGAGCCGCTGTGAGTGTTGGCCGCGGCACGTGGCTAGGCCAGGGATCCAGGGTTCGACCGTGCACACACAGCTATGGCTCCTCCTTCCCCCACAGGCCCTGGGTCCAGTCACCACACCGGCCCGGGCCAATCCTTAACAATTCAGCAAACCCAGCGGGTAGGCTATAGTGAGAGCGAGTGTGGCTAGGCCTGCGTGGCACGGCGGTGCTGACCGGAGCACCTGTAGCAGAAAACTGGCCATGGACTGGGTCAAGCCATGAGAGTACCGAGGGTCCCCTAAGAATGGGAGTGCAGAGACCCCAGGGAAGCGAGGTCCCAGCAGGACATGGCACCAGCTCTGCAGCATGGTCACAGCCCTCTGCTCTCACTCACTCAGTGAGCCCCCTTCCCGGGAGGGCTGACTTCAGGCTGACAGTCTCATGGTCACAAAACGGTTGCTACTACCCCAGGCTTTACATCCAGACAGGGCAAAATCTGGGGAACGAGGGGTACTGGTTCTCCGTTGGTGTGTCCTCAGGCAACCTCTCCCCCCAGTCCCGACGCTCCCGCGTGCTCATCAGCTGGAACTGTGCCATTCACTTCCGCTCAACCAAGCCCTCTGGAGGGAGGCACCTGCATTGCCCAGACCAGCTTGGACCCTGGGCCCTCCTGGTGTGGGGCCAGCTTCCTAGAAGCAGGTGACAGTGGGGGCTCGCCTGCGGAGCTGGCTTGGAGTGCCTGTGGCGGCCAGGAGCCAGCCAGGTGCTGCATGCCGTGCCTGGCTCAGGACCTGACTGGGCTTCTGTCCAGCAGCTGCAGGGATGTGCTTACCCTTCCTGCCATCTCGGTGCAATGTCTCTTCCTTCATGGGCGAGCGCCCCACTGACAAACCACCAGCGCTGGAGGGCCAGGGCTGCTGTCCCACCCAGGAGCGAGAGCCGCTTGCCTGGCTCCAGTTGTTATGGGCGGAGGGGAGGGTGGCAGACACCTCCGTGGACCTGCAGGCGCTGCTCAGTCTCTGAGCTGTGGTCAGTGTGAGGGGTAGGGTCCAGCCCCACTCTCACTTCCCGTTCCCCCAGCAGGACTTTGAGGGGCCCTGCTTCTGCCTAAAGGAGCTCGGTTGCCATGGAGATAGGGACTTGGGGAGGGAGTCAGAGGCTCAGTCTGTAGGAAGACCCAGGAGGCCCAGCGTCTGCCTGCTGCTCCTCTTGCTCCCTGCCCAGGAACGCAGGCCGAGACCTGGGCAGCCTTATCCTCCCATGGGCTCTGGGAGAGCCGACTGCGGAGGGGACAGGGCCAGCCCCTTCCTCGTGCCTGGGGATGGTCCCTGGGAGCTGGCTGTGACCTGGCCCTGGCGTGGGGAAGGCTGGAGACCCCACTGCACCCACCTGGCAGCTTAGGGCAAGTTATAAATAGGCCTGGCAGATCCAGGGTGAGAGGAGCAAGCGGATTAGCCACTCAGTGCTTAATGGGGCGGGGTGGGGTGGACCTGGCCGCAGCGCAAGGCTGGCTGCTGCACCAGTCAAGGTGTGGGGTCCATGCCTCCCCTCCTCTGCCCCCAGGAGAGGAGTGAGGGGCTCCCCATCTCCTCCCTCCAGGGGTCAACGTCTCAGCCAATCAGGATGAAGAGCTGGACCATGAGACCTTCCTGATGCAAATTGACCAGGACACGAAGAAGTGCACCTTCTACTGCAGCACCGGGGCCTACTGGACCCTGGTCACCCACGGAGGCATTCAGGCCACCGCTTCACAAGTGTGAGTGCACTGCCACTTCCACCCCAGGTCGCCCGGCAGCCCTGCAGGGGCAGGTGTGGGTGGGCTCTGCCCCGGGAGCCCGAGGGCCCAGGGGCCAGACCTGTGCCCTGCCCTGAGTGTCTGCCCGCTCACTGCAGCTCGCCGGGCACCATGTTCGAGGTGGAGTGGCGCGGCCGGAGGGTGGCGCTCAGAGCCAGCAATGGGCGCTACGTGTGCATGAAGAGAAACGGGCAGCTGGCGGCCGTCAGCGACTTCGCGGGTGAGCACTCCCTCCCCACCAAGAGCTGCCCCACCCTCCAAACTATCACTGTCCTGGCAGTGGCTGGGATGCTCATGGGACGCCCCCGGCCCACTGGATGTGGGGAGCTCCTGGTCACTGTGCTCCGAGGATCCTGGGCTAGTGGCCTTGGGCACCTGGCAGGCCTCCAGCAGGATGGGCAAGCCTGGGCCCAAAGCCGTTCTCCCAGGGCGACCAGGCTGGCTTGGACAGGGAAGGTGGTGTGAGAGCGTCCCCAGCAGCGCCCTGTCCCGCCAGGCGAGGACGAGGAGTTCACCCTGAAGCTCATCAACCGGCCCATCCTGGTGCTGCGCGGCCCCGACGGCTTCGTCCGACACCGCCGCGGCTCCAACCAGCTGGACCCCAACCGCCCACGCTACGAC